AGAGAAAAGAAGCACAAATATGGAGGTCCAGAGAGATTTTCTTAAGAGAAAACATTCAGGTTTGGATAATTTGGCTCTTGTGTGACAAAGGATTTCTGGGAAAGACAAGCAGAGGTGAAGCCTGAGCCTTTCATAAGCTGCCTAGAAGACCAAGCAGCAGGATTATTACCTGAATTTCATGGAAGCTGAGAAGAATTCCCAAGAAGCTCAGCAGCTTTGCTGTGAAGGAAAGATCATCCTCTACCAAGTTCCTTCTCCCTTGCAGCCAGTCTTACGTGTGCATCCACATAGGTCTCTGCTCAAAGAACTGATCTTTAATTAACAATGGTCTTCAGAACTAATAAGCAATGGAATTTTACCTGCATTCTGAACTGACTATCCCCAAACCACTGATTGTCTAAGGTTGATATCACAATACTGACTTCAGCCTCACAACACAGAGAAGTGTTACTATATAAAATAAATGCATAGTAAGTGTCCATTCCTTTCAGTTTAGGCTTACATATACAGCATGCAACACAATTGCCACCACATCACAACAAACTGGGAAGAAAACAAGAAATGTTGCCTCTGGTCTTTTTGGCTTACAACTTTAATTACTTAGAACATGAAATGAATTAGGATTAAAATCATGCGGATATTCAGATTACAAAACAAAATACTTCCAGTACAATCACACGTTTAAAAGTTACTCACTCCAATATCTACTTTGAGGTAAAAATCTAAGATTAATCAAATATAATGAGCAATAGTAAGCTTAGCATAAATAAATATTGAGATTTTCAGAACAAAATAATTGGGGAAAACAGCATTTTTATCAGGTATACTGGTACAAGAGATACAGCCCATTTACCCTCCTTCAGAGTGTGATCCACTCACATCTGATATAAAGCCACAAATACTGTAAAATTTCATAGTACTGAAGCACAGCAGCCAGTTTGCCCACAACATAAGATCCCTATGCACATACTGCAGTGTAGGGCCAAGTTATTTGGAAAAACAAGATATAACTTCCAGGATTTGGGGGTTTAACTACACAGCTTCTAACCAAGTAAAGCAAAAGCTGCACAGCCAGATCCCCCCTGAATATTACAAGCTGCTTTTGGCCAAAATTCCAGATATAAAGACCTGAAATTCAGGTCAAAAATATAGGACCAATTAACATGTCTGCTTTTATGCATGCAAGCCGCAGCATGAACAAGTTCTGTGTTTGTGCACCTTGGTGTTGAGGTGTCTTTTGTTTGTTTGGTGTTAAGTAATGTTCATGTGAAGAATCATGTTCCATGGCATATTCAGGTTCAAAGTGACCACAAGCCTACTCTCATGAAATCTAACCCACAATATTTCTCCAGCTGACAGCGGTCTCTCCCATTTCTCTCAACTTCCAGAAGAAAAAAAAAAGATTCATACTTGTTTTCACCACAAGTAGAACAACTAAAATACAAAGAGGACAATCTATTATAGTCTGCAGTAAGATGAGGTTTGCCTCTCCTGAACCAATTCATTTGTATGAGCAAAAATACAAGGAAAATTACATAAAAACAAGAGTATAAATATTATACTGCACCATGAAACACTGCTAACAATATACAAAAATTATATTAGGGTATTAATTATCTGTCAACCTATTAAACAACACCTCAATATTAACACAGCTTGGAAGGTAAACATAACCTACAGGCTAGGTTTTCAAATGGCTGTTTGTCAGTGCAGCATAAAACATTTCCATAGTGCAAATCCTCCTGCCTGTATGAAAGATACTGTCCCCTTCAGAAAAATGCTTCTGACCCCCCACCCCCCTCAAAGTAACAAAGAGTCCAAGTCAAACTTCATTTCACATTTAGTACAAAATGTGGCTTGAAAAAATACTCACATAGGGAAGTTTAATTTTAACACTGAAAAAAGGCTGAACAATGTTGAGAAATTAAAATTTTAAAAGTTAGATATGCTATAGCTGGAAGACATAAAACCCAAAAATCTGATCCGTGGATGTGGGGAAATAAGAAGACACCAACATTTCCTTGTTTTCATCCGTTGGAAACATATTGTATGACAAAACAGCATGCTCCCTGTACTGTGCCAACAACTGTAAGATTACTTTAACTGCTGAAGAATCACAGTGTTAAGTATATCTGCTTCTTGTAGTGTCAGGCTTTCATCTGTTAGCTCTCTATTTGGGAAGGTAGTCACAAGAACAAAATCAGTTGTTGCAAATGCTGGACGGGACTGGATAATGAAATCTCGAATATCCTTAACCCTGTGGAAAGGATACAGACATGAAAACTCTGCAGGATTCCATTTTGACATAAATATCTGAACATTAAGATGATCAGAGAACACACAACCTTCTAAGAGACTAAACCATTTCATATGTCCTATTGATTTTATGTTTCCATTTGATCCTTGTGACTAATGGTTGTAGCCTCGATTTTTTTGCTTCTTATATAAAAAACCATGAAAAACTAAAATGTTTTCTCCAACAACAAATAAAATTTGTAACATAGAACTATACTGAAAACTGGTATTTAACATAGAAAGCCAAATGATTTTGACACCAGCTGTCAAAAATTTCACTATCAGTCAGTGCATGCAAAAAAAGCTGAATTAACAATGGGAGGAGGAGCCTTAAACTATATGGTGATGAGGAAGCAGAGGAGGATTACCAATGCACTTCAATAGCTAGAGGTTTCCCCTACTTTCACCCAGCACTGAATGCATAAAGTTTTATGAACTTCATAAAACAAATCACATCAACAGTATAACAACAATAATTTCATTTCATAAAACACGGATGAAAAATAAGCAAGATTTTACAGATAAAAACCTGAAACTTGAGTTTTCTGTCCTAAGACTGTAAGCTGAGAATAAATCTTTCAATACCTATTGTAACTAAAGCATAGGCAGATGTACTGTGGTCAAATAAGCAGTCTTCAACTTTCTATTAGTCTTCAGGGCTTATGATACAAGCAATGGACTTTAGTAGCTGACTTTGGTCATACATATGGCAAGGACAACTAAAAAAAATTCATGTATATTATTCATGGATATTAATAATGATTAAAATCTGTCAGCACACCCCTTGGTTAGAGATGTTACTGGGAAGTTCATCCCTTCTACTGGTTCATGCAGACAGAAGGAAACACACCATGGCTACACTGGCTCGTGATGAGCCCAGCTGTTTATCTAAGGAACTTCTTCAGCAGATGATGTGAAGAAAAGATCTGGCCTGTATGTCAGGTCTGCCAAGATAGGATTTAGCTCTGCCTCCCTCTGTAGTGGTGTATGATGTCAGAAAGCTGCACGTTGGCTGTGCACTCATTCTGAGCCAGAAGGAAATAAGGGAAGAGGTAAACTCTCCATATAACAATATTAACATGGAATTGGGTCCATGCTTTGATGACCTTCAAGGCAGGATTCAAGCTCACTTTCAGCTGTGTTCTAACATCACAGTGCAGATTTCAGACCAGGGCTGGCTTGAAACCTGCTTGCTGTGAAGTGTGAGTGGAACTACTGCTCCAATCTCTGCCCTCTGCCCAAAGGTCTATCAGCCACGCAGTGCAAAGTAGAACTTTGCAGAACCTTGCACTGACACAACCTCTCAGGCAAATAAATGGGGTTGGCCAACACCATTTATGGCAATGGCCCAACAAAGTCAACAAAACTGATGGCAAGCTCTAATCAGCAAACTACTAAGACATCTAAAAACCCTGGCAAGTCTGCACGCTGCCAATTCCTAGGAGATGACCATCCAAGACAAAACAGAGGTTGGTTCTCAGTATCACGTCCAGCTTACATGCCAGAATTGAGCATGTTATGTCCCTACACCCTTCTGCTTATGGGCTGCAGTCTACACTTACAACCCATGTCATGTTTAGTCAGAGTCTCAGGTATAATGAGGTAGAGGGCTGGAGCTCTGATTATGACCCTGCCTGGTGCACGACGTCCAGCTCTGGGGTCCTCAGCACAAGAAAGACAAGGACCTGTTGAAGCAGGTCCAGAGGAGGCCACAAAAATGATCAGAGGGCTGGAACTCATCTGCTGTGAGGACAGACTGGGGGAGTTGGGGTTGTTGAGCCTGGAGAAGAGAAAGCTCCAAGGAGACCTTACTGCAGCCTTTCAGTACTTAAAGGGGGCCTGTAAGAAATATAGGACAGACTTTTAGCAGGGACAGTTGTGAAAGGACAAGGGGTGATAGTTTTGAACTAAAAGAGAGGAGACCTAGACTAGATAGAAAGAAGAGAAATTTTTACAGTGAGGTGGTGAGACCCTGGCTCAGGTTGCCCAGAGACGTGGTTGATGCCCCATCCCCAAAAACCTTCCACAAAAATGGCACAGAACTAGAACATTTCAGTGGAGCTATATTCTTCCCATTTTTATGTCTTGCTGATACTCATTTAAGGATAAAACACAACCTTATCAAAATAATGATGGTTATCTGCACAGATGCAGAATGAATTTACCTGTGTGTTTGGTTAAATCTTTGTATTAATCGGCTTCCATCAGCTAATCTGATTTGAATTTTAGTTGCTGGCACGGAATCATCAATGAGGACAGGTGCATTGAGAATGGATTTGTCCTCCTCCTCTGGGGAAGAAGGGGTGCTGACTATTTCAGGTGTAAGGCTAGAGGATTGAAAAAAAAAGAAACAGTTGTTATTAATGGAGTCAAACCAGAATGGAATAAAGTTTCAGTTGTCTTTTTCTACCATGTGTAGCTAATACAAACAAGCAGCAAAAATCCTCTCAAAGTTGTCTGAACCAAGGATAAAAAGTTACATTTGCATTATTTTACATAGTCAAGTACAAATGAAACTATCTTTGTCTATGCTTACAGAGTATGGAATGACAGTCACCAATGCTAAGATACAATATATATCTTCTGAACTGTACTAAAAAATAACCAAGCACCAAACTGCTTCAGTAATTGCTTTCAGGAGCACCACTGTGATTTTGGGCATCCCACACCCTTTCCAGGCACAAATGATATTAACAGGTGACGGGCAGCATCACACAGCAAGTGTGGAATTTTTTACATTTAGTATAAAAAGAATACCAGTCTAGCTAGAGAGAACCATTTGGTTTCTCCTTTCATTCATTACATACCTGACACTTCAAAAACTACCAAATCAACCAAAAATGGCACACAATACTTGTGCACATTTTCTTACATGCCAAACCTCCTCTCTTCCCCATCTATTTTCTTTAATAATCAGAGCAAGTGTCCAGGTGAAGAAATTACTATATAAAATTGTTCCCTATGTCACCCCTACCAGAGCTTACCACCTTCTCAGTTTTACTGAGCACGTTTGTCTTTTTTATTTTTAAATTAGGAAATATAGGTTAAAACCAGTTCAGAATCATGTATTGCATTAAATTACTCGCTGCAGCACACCACTACTATCTTTTTTTGGCAACCAAGCATTTTACATGAATAAATGCAACCATGAACAGAAACTTAGAAGTATTTACAGTTCAACAGGTAATATCAAATCAGCTGAAAAAGACGCTGTGAAACCTACAACTGTTATGTGAAAAAAATGATGACTGCCAGAGTTGAGGTCACATTACTGTTTACTCCTACTGACCAGCTTAAGCTGAACAGAGATCATGCACTTTTGGACAAAGTAGTCTGAAATGTTCAGTCACCAGAATGAATTTTGGCACATGATGTATCAGTTCAATCGAATTATAAACATTTAAGAGTTTTTACAGCATCAGCCTACTCTTGCACTGGGACAGCAAATGAAAGGGAACGAGGTGTAAGCTTTCCTCAATCATTAAATTTCATTTTATTTGCTGCATATATGAATTTTATACTGTAGTCAGAGATGACAGTTGGAGGAAGTGGGGCTCCAGTCAGAGGTTAGAAGTTGAGCCCCTCCTCTCCCACAATCCAGTATAAATTCATTTCAGGGAGCATGTAAAGGAACTCTGGTTGGTTCCCTAAGAATAACCCCAAACAAACAGCTCCTAGTATAGGTTCTTGCAGCATCATTTGAAGTTTTAATCAAATCCTAGTAAAAGTTTAGGAGTCCTCAGCACAAGAGAGACAGGGACCTGTTCAGGTGGGTCCAGAGGAGGCCACAAAAATGCTCTGAGGGCTTTAACCCCTCTGCTGTAAGGCCAGGTTGAGAGAGCTGGGGTTGTTTAGCCTGGAGAAGAGAAGGCTCCAGGGAGACTTTATGGTGACCTTTGAGTACTTGATGGTGGCCTGTAAGCAAGATGGGAACAGACTTTTTAGCAGGGCCTGTTGTGACAGGATAAAGGGTGATGGCTTTAAAGTAAAAGAGGGAAGATTTAGATCAGGTATGAAGAAATGTTTTACGCCAAGGGTGGTGAGACCCTGGCCCAGATTGCCCAGAGAGGTGGTAACTGAAATCAGGGATGAGACTCATGACACAGAATAATTTTATGTTGCTTTGTCATCTGATTAGCTGTTCCAACAATCACTTATTAAATCCAGCTTTGGAAACAGCATATGAACACAGAACAAAAAACCTAAGTTTTTACCTTCCAAGTTTCTGCCCTTCACCACTGAAGGCTTTGAATCGCAGTCTAGGCTTCACATATTCCTGTTCTTGGTGGTCTTCCATATCCAAATTAACCTGGCCACCATGAACAAGTCGCTGCAGTTCCACGGGAATTTCCCTGAATTACAAAAAAAAAGTTCCCCAATTACATTCTGAACCACAATACAAAATTACACAAAAACCTTCCTAGTAGTAGAAAATCATGTTGTACTGTTGATGTTTACTTTTAGTATAAAATCATGTTGTACTGTTTATGTTTACTTTAGGCATCCAAATGGTTTATGAATTGATTTAATCCTAAAGAAAGAGAAAAAATCAGTGAGCTGACGTTCAAAACCTAGAACATACTGACACAGTCAAAAGCTAATAACAAAACATGTCTGTAATAAGTAATATTCAGAATTAAATCACTAGAAGGAACCAAAGTGTTCCAAATCTTTATATGCCCCATGCATCTGATAACAGATGAAGAATATATCTTCTGGGTGCAGGCAGAAAAGAAGCCTGGAGATTTTAATAATTATAGGCAGTGTAAGAAAGTTTGTTTTTTTTCCACTTCACTTTAAAGACATACCTCAAAAAAGTTGCCATTTTAACCTACCCTCTTTTAACAGACTCAAGAAACTGAGCATTTGTTGGGTCTGAATAGGATCTCAACTCGCCATCATCTAAACTGAAGCCATTCCTCCATAGTTTCAGCAAGATTTGAACCTATGAAGCAAATACAGTGAAAAAAAAAAAAAAAACAAAACAGACAAAGAAGGTATTTCAAATTAATAAAGATTAATTATGCAATTTTTGATCTATCCTAACAGATTTTGGCCTTACTCATTCCTTTGGTTTGTTTCCAGAGAAGCTTAACATTTGCTGTAGCCAGTCACATGAATGCCAAGCATGGAGAACTTTGTTTTTCAGATTCCCAAGCCTGCTGCTTCGCCATTCCTTGAATACATCCATGCCCTTCAGTTTAAGACTGGCTACTTTGCAAGCCACAAGAAGAAACAATTCCTAACCTAAGAGGATTAAAATGTTAGCACAGCTAAGAGACTGCAGAAGAACAGCTGGAAGAAAGTAGCTGAAAGGAATTTCAAAGTAATTTCCAACAGAAAATCCCATAATGGAGGCCCTAGGGGTATTCAATGAACATTTGTCCTCTGTGGACACTTCCAATTTAACAATTTCTACTTAACACATATCTAATATTTAGATTAGTTTTTCCTCATAGATATAGTTGCAGTAATATTGGCATTTCAAGCTCTAAACAGGATTAAGCAGACATCTGTTACAGATTCTATTTCCTGCTCTCCAGGATTTTACTTACATCTTGATTTTCTCCATAGATGTATTCAGAGTGCTTTTGTGATGAGTCACCCAATCTATATCCACCACCAGAAAACGACTGGAATAAAAATACATAGCAGAGCTTATTGAAATAAATATCTGAAACAGTTTATTAAAATTCTTACCTAGATGCAAATAAAAGCATCAGCAAGCTTGCTTCTGTGTTAAAAAGCAAATGCATTGTTCCAACTTGCATACTTTCGAGTGGAAAATTGAACCCAGTCACCATAATCAGGCTAAGCAGATTGTGATGCCTTTCAGTTTCTAATCTTTACATTTTTTTCAAACATTAGAATCACAGAAAAACAGAATGGGTTAGGTTGGAAGGGACCTTTCAAGATCATCTAGTGCAACCTACCTGCAGTGCGCAGGGACATCTGCAACTAGAGCAGGCTGCTCAGAGCCCCAGCCAACTGACCGAAATGTTTCCAGGGATGGGGCATCAACCATCTCTCTGGGCAGCCTGGGCCAGGGTCTCACCACCCTCAGGGTAAGAAATGCCTTTCTTCTCTCTAGTCTAAATGTCCCCTCTTTTAGTTTAAAACCATCTCCCCTTGTCCTGCCTGTTTTTCTTATAATCCCCCTTTAAGCACTGGCAGGCCACCAGGTCTCCCCAGCTGGAGCCTTCTCCTCTCAGGCTGCCCCAGCCCAGCTCTCCCCTGCTGGGCTCCCAGCAGAGGGGTTCCCCCCTCGGGTCACTGCTGGGGCTCCCCTGGCCCCGCTCCAGCAGGTCCCTGTTTCTGCTGTGCTGAGGACTCCAGAGCTGCCCCAGCACTGCAGGGGGGTCTCCCCAGAGTGGGGCAGAGGGGCAGGATCCCCTCCCTGCCCTGCTGCCCACGCTGCTGGGGGTGCTGCCCATGATCCATTGGCTGCTGGGCTGTGGGTGCACAGGACCAGCTCACATCCAGCTCCTCACCCCACAGCGCCCTCAAGTCCTTCTCCCCAGGGCTGCTCTCAATCCCTTCATCCCCAGCCTGTGCTGATACTGAGAATTTCCCCAACCCAGGTACAGGACCCTGCCCTTGACCTTGCTGAACCTCATGAGGTTTCCATGGCTTCTCAAGCTTGTCCAAGCCCCTCTGGATGACCATCCCTCCGGCATGTCAAGGGCACTGCTCAGCTTGGTGTCATCTGCAGACTTGCTGTAGGTGTGCTCAATCTCACTGCCTGTGTCACTGATGGAGATATAAAATGGTACTGGTCCCACTATGGGCCTCTGAAGGACACCACTTGTCACTGACCTCCACCTGGACATGGACCATTGACTGCTGCCCTCTAGAAGGAATGCAACAGAGAAGAGGTTTTTATGTGAACTGCAGGTTTTGGTGTGGTGGTTTTGTTTGAGTTTGTTTTTGGTTTTATTTTTAATGAATTTTAATTAAACTTAAGCAAGTAATTCCAGTTTGGCTTGATTTCTAGCGATTTCCCCTGAAATTGTGTGGTTCTTCCTCACTTTATTTTCTAGAGCAAGCTATTTGAGCACAGTTTATACACAATGGTGTTGAGCATTCCTCTGCTATTCACATAAAGGACAAAAAGCCATATTTACTCCCTTGTGCTTAGATATCCAAGTTTCAGAGAGACTAATGTAAATAGAGATCAAAATATCTTTTAAGTTTTACCTTAGCTTTACTGAAATCAGAAGATGCTCTTGAGGCTTCATCTAACGGGACAGCCCCATGTTCTTTTGCTTCCTTGAAGAGTTCAGCAACAATTTTACTTGGATTATTAGAAGCTCCAGAAATCTCCAATCCTCTGTATTCCAAGTCACCTGAATAAAATCTTTAGAATAGTAATGTTCATAAGCAACAACACTTTAAATGACAAGCATACCTCTCCTCTCCCCATCAAAAGAAAAAAAAAAAAGAGTCAAATTTGGCACAAAACCTTCTCATTCTGATCACAGAAATGTTCTACTTGGTTCTGACCTTCCCAGCAATCCAATAATCCAGCAAACCAATTGTGTTTTTCCTCAACACAGCCCCATTTCTAGCTCTTGAAGAAAGGTTAAACTACAAAAAATTCTGTTCAAAATCATATCTGATTATCAAGATCAAAACAGTCCATGAAGATTATCTTGAGGAAGGGCCTATAAATCTCTAAATACCAACGGAATAGGTGGTATAATAAAAAAATCTGTATATACATTCCAAACCTGGCAAACCTGACTGTTTTGTCTTTGATAACAAGTGTTAATAACTAATAAAATTTAGTGTTTTCTACTTTCCTTAACTTTTTCACTTAATCACTTCTGGCAAAATCAATCCCTGTGGAACCATCTCCAAAGCAAATGACTTCAAAATGCTGTTGATTTCACCACATTTTACAATTTTCCCCAAACCTTTAGGGGCTATGAAGGTGCTGTCAATCATACTGCTTTTATGATGTCACATAACTACCAATCCTTTTTGTAACATCTCTCCTTTGTACAGAAATCTGTATTTATTATATGGAAAATTTTAAATAATTAGATTCAAAAGAACAGCAGTAACAAGATGAAACAAGAATTCTCATCAGAATTTGTATTCAAATAAAGTTCATACTCAAGTATTTGAGAAATTCACAGAACAGTTCAGGGTATTGGAGAAAAGGTAAAAAAGCTCTGAAGTCTAAGTGCAAGTTACAACCTTTACATCCATTACTAGATCACTACAGCCAGATTCTCCTAAATATAGTTTTACTATAGCTGCATACAGCTAACACTTACCCTAAGAAATCACATAGCATCTCTGTATTTACTAGCTCTTTGCAGGGCAGACTTAGCTCACATACATTTTGAAAAACAAGGGGGAGCAAAGTGTGAACATCAACAAGAAATGCCATTACTTACACATTCACTAAATGATTTTTTAATTTGTTTTCAAAATACCTTTGGTTTCCTTTGTCATCGCTCATGCTTCTCTCTGGTTTCCTCAACCTTCTAAGAGAATCAATTTTAAGACTGCCAAGAGAATAGAAGAAAACATGTGAAGAAGACTTGTACATACACTTCAGTAAGTATTTAATAACAAACTTCTGAAATTACTTCTTTTTCAAAACCTAAGGATAACAAGCTGTTGGGGGTTTTTCTTTGTCCTCATCATACCTTTTTTTTTTTTGCCAAAGTACATAGCCATCAATGCTTCTCAGTGAATAACCAGGAAAAAGTGCATGTGTGGCAGAGGGTCACTTTGCAGTAACAGCTGGACTAGCTGATTGTTTTGGGTTCCCTCCAACTGTACTCTACTGTTCTATTATATTCTATCAGAGGTTATGCAGAATTCTGCATTACACCACTGGGGGTAATGCACAAGCCCAACAGCTGCTTCAGAATCCAGCTTAGCAGAACTAATTAGACTTCAAACACTTCCCACATTCTAGCTGGTTTTGTCAAGAGGTAAGCTGCCCTGTGAAGTGAATGTTGGCTTTCCTTCATGTCCTGGAGTTCCTGTTTGTGAGGATCCTAAGAACTAAAAGGTAGGAGTTCTCACTTGTGTTTATACAACTTAGAAAATATGCTGAATGGCAAATTCACAAAGACTTCCAAAGATGATTAAAATGAAGAATCAGATTCTATTTTATGATCAGGACAGATCAATAAGCTACCATGGGACTAGCTAGGCTTGTTACCTCGCAAAATGCCCTGATACAGGCTCTCATCCATGTAGTACTTAATAATAAAATTCATTTATGCAGATGTTTATGATGTAGCTGACTACCCTGGGACAAGAACATACAATGTGCTCTGTGAGTCATGGCAGGTCGCTAGTTCAGATTTATGCAATTTGTCTGATTACCTTTGACATCAAAGTATAGCAGAGCAGGCCATCGCTTTTTGAAGTATCAGTGTTAATAAAACAAGGTAATTCTATATCCCAGTGAAGGACCTGGTTCTTATTACTTTCTCAGAAAAAAAAGTGTTGTTATGGACTTGGATCATGGGCACTAGAAACGCTTTAAAATCTCCTATTTTCTTCCTTTGTCACATTTTAGGTTTTGTGGGGCTTGTATTTTTGTGGCGATAGTCCCAAATTTCTTAAAGCAACTTACACAACATATATAACATGGTGTTTTTTCCAGTAGGGCCCAGAGACATTCTTCTCTACCTGCAACTGTGGAAGGCAAGCAGAGTAGATGACTCCCAAAACATGACCAAAAAAAGCTTTTATTTTCCACGTGTCACCTACTGTGCTAAAATCCTGGAGATCTGCATTTGCAGATGTACTTGAAGCGTGGCTTTCATGACTCAGAACCTTTCTGCTGCTACACCTCCCTTAAAACAGAGATCTATACTGGCAGCAGCGATTGAAAGACAAGCCAAGGACAAGACTTGTTACAGCACCACTGACAGTAATGATGTCAAGACTTCTTTAAAACTAGTTCAATAAAAGATAATTAAAAACTGGCAAGATTTCTTTATAAAAAAAAATTAAAACAATGTTGAATATTCAAATGCTACATGAATTGCTAACACTGCAGGCCAGCAGAAGCTGGATTTATACACAGAAACCTATCTTTCCTTTCCTTTTTTTGCCATGGCCAGAAAAATTCATTAAGAAGCCCTTCTTATTTCTCTCACCCCTACTAATGAACCTAATAATTTTTCAAACAAACGCTTGTTTCACCAGGCAATGATGTTAAATGCAACAGTCAAAGCAGCTCACTTGCCAAGTTCCACACAAACTACTGAATTCTGAGGAAGCAATAAAGAAATACAGTTATTTTTCTGATCAAATTCTAGGTGTGTAAAAACAGAGCCACATTGCATTTCACGTAAAGCATCTTAATCCTGTCTTATCTGGAGGGGGTTTAAAGTGTTTTGGAATACCATATAGCACAAAGGCTCCTAAATAAATACAATTTAGAAAGCATTCTGAGAAGTTCCGACTATGCATTATTACAGAGATCCACAACTCTGGATTACGAACAGCCGCCCATCGCTTTTTATACAGGGAGGAGACTGAGTAATTACAATAAATTTTTGTGAGTTAATACAGTAGCTATTCAACACATTTCTAAAGCACAACTTACCTCTGTGATGCTTTTGTGGCTGCTGGTTTGTCAGGACACAATGACTGCCTTTTAGCTTCATCTTCATATAACTCTGCCAAGGCCAACTGTAGGAAAAAGGACTCTTTTTAAAGGCTGTAACTCTAGAACTACATATGGAACAGAAATACGACAAAAAACTAATGCAAAACACACACGTCACCAGAAAATTAGAAATATCAACATGAGAAATCCCAACTGCTCCTCATTAATGGTAACAAATTGAAGTAAAGTTGCGAGGCTACCCTCTGATAAGCCTGGGAAGCAAATAATAAGTCTTACAAACACTTCACACAGAGATGGAGAAAACATAACTCAGATAAGCTCATACTGGAATGAAGAACCAATTCAGCTGCCTTGGATTCCAGACATCATTGCAAATACTTCAGAGTAAAGATACCCGACGTATCACTGGCAAGTTCATTTTTAGCAATTTTATGGGCACATCTAACATGTAATTTTTAGCCATCTTAATTTTATCCTGACTTTGTTTGTCAAGCCATCCTTAATTTTGTCCCCAAGCCACTTTTTTCACACCACATGAGTGATATTAATATTTTACCATGCACACTAGAACAGGTACCAGGCTCCAATTCCATTACAGTTTTATGTTGAAGGAATACACATTAAAATAAAATGAAACCTCATCTGTCCTTTGAAATACGCTGCTATGAACACAGGCTATTAATCCCCTGCCATTGTGAGGTATGTTCTGCAGGGGAAAAATATGAGATGAGGAATTATACCTGTTAAAAAAATTAAACGAAGTAACAAGACAGCTCACAAAACCCACTGAATATATCTTTTAGATAAAAAAGTTGATGGGCTAAAACTGGTGGGGTAAGTCATAGATAACAAGTCCATAAACAGATACTGAGAGCAACAGGCAAAGATCTACCCTGGACCATCCCTAATCCAAGGTTGAGAGAGCATAAAAGGCCATGGTCAGGTTTCTGTGCCTTCCTCATACCATGTCTCTTATGGTGTCACAACAAACCAAGTACTCAGCTGGATGGATGGTCAGCTACTCTGACCCAGGACTTCTTTGGGTTTTAACATTTTATCAATAATCATCTAACCAAAATGCCTGCCCACTTGACTAACTAAAGACCTTACGAATCAAAAGCATTAATGCCTTACTACTGTTACATACTGTAACAAAATTAACCTCAACAAGAACATATGAAAATTCCAAATAGTAATCAAGAAAAAAATAGAAACCTATATCCATATTTCTCTGTCAATTATACACAGTTAAATTAAATAGGGGCAGTTTCAAGAGCTAAAGGTTTCACCTGTTTTCCAAGCAATTTGTTGCTAAAATACTTTGAACCTTCAAACAGTTTCAAAGACACACACAAAAAAGAAATACTGCTAAAAGTGTTTGCAATAAAACATTTTAAGTACCTAAAGCAGGCCTGCAAGAAAGCTGGAGAAGGACTTCTTACAAGGGCTTGTAGTGACAGGACAAGTTCCTTTACCTGAAGAGGGCAGATTTAGGTTAGATGTAAGGAAGTTCTCCCCCGTGAGGGTGGTGAGGCACTGGCTCGGGTTGCCCAGGGAAGCTGTGGATGCTCCATCACCGGAGGTGTTCAAGGCCAGGTTGGATGGGGCTTGGAGCAACCTGGTCTGATGGGAGGTGTCCCTGCCTCCTAGTCCCAGGCAGGGGGGCTGGAACTAGATGGTTTCATAAGTCCCTTCTAATCCAAACTATTGTATGAGTTGCGATCACAATCTCTCGAAAATTTCCCCGGCG